CAATTCATTCATTCTGCTGTTCTTCATAAGTTAACCTGGAAAACAAACTGGATACTTACTTTCGAACTTAATTGCTCAACACGGATAAGTCCACTTTCCTATGCGTTTGTCTTTGGCCTCAACCTTTCAAGTGGTTAAATGCGTATGCAATCATTAATGAAATGAGATAAAATGCAGTTCTTCATTTACTCTGTCATTTTACATCAATACTGACAGGGGATATCACAAAGTCAGATTTTTTAACTTTATATATTACTTTATGTATGACGTGGGGGTGTGCGATAGACTTACCTCCACGTGGTGCACCCTGGGCAACGTATACTTATACGGCAAAATAGTCTATTAACCGACAGTTGACTTCTGGCTTTTGACTTCTCACTTCAAACTTCCACGACCCCTCTGGTTGTCATATTCGACCCCTACCACAGTACTCACCTTACCTTTTTCTCTACCTTTGTGTCTGTCTGCCTCTTTTACATCTGTGAATCGCTCTTCTGTTCCCCACCCCTCGACTTTCTTCTACTTTGATGAACCTTCCCTCTGTGAAGTCCGAAGCCAGCTAAATGGCTAATGATATCTATCAAAACGCCTGCCATTTGAAATAAATAAATTAATGTGTGACGTGTTGTAGTAATAGCACTCTTTCCTAACACTTTAGCTCAACCGAAAATATGCAGGGAAGAAAATATGCGCTTGACAATGGTTCAAGGTGATCTCCCTCCCGCCACAGATGGTAAGCTTTCCTAACTTGATTTTGGCAAATATTATCATTCATGGCCATGAAATCAATGCAAAAATTATAATTGTCTGAGTACGCAAAAGTGCCCCATAAAATGGGTTATGGATGAGGAGGGAGGGAGGGGGGGGGGGTTGACGTGCTGTAATGTAGTCTGCATTCCAGTCCAGAAACTCCGTGTTGTTAAATTCTTCATAAGGTGTATGGCTCATATTTGCCCTACTGAATAGGTGATTTAGGCTAGTGAGATATTTCACACATGATAGATCTAAATTGAGTTCACTCTTTTTGATAATAAAATAAGCTCACTCGGCAAAGCAACAGATTTCTTACACCATTTGAATCTCTTTTGCCGCAAAGCATTTTTTTGAAACAGTAGAGCATTTCACATTTGTTATGTGTACAAATTCACACAGTCATGCAATTTCAACTTGGCGACATATTTATCGCCTTGATCGTCGATTGAATCATTGTTCCCCAAAGGCACTTCCCAAAATATAATTCAAAGTATTTTGATGAGAAATGTTAATAAAAAATAAAGATAATAAAATCTTTGTTTTATAAGATATTCTGTTTTTTAACTAAAATATACCTGGAAAGTTGAAAAGTTGTGGTTTTGTTTTTTTCTGGGTGTAGTGATTCGTGTTTGTTGTCTAATGTTATGAAAGTGAAGAATATCCTTCCTATAGAGGGTACATATTAACTAAATTGAATAATATTTATTCATGACAAATGACAAGCGTTTTGATAATTATCATTAGACATTTAGTTGACTTCGGAGCTTCACAGAGGGGAGAAATATCAGAGTGAGAAAGATTCGAGAGGAGGGACAGAAAAATGATTCACAGACGAAGGAGAGAGACAAACAGACAAATACAACGGTAGAGAAAAGGTAAGATGAGTACTGTAGAGTGGTGTAATATGACATAGCGTCTGGTCATAGTAGTTTGAAGTGACTTTGCCGTATGGGTATTCGTTGCCCAGGGTGCACCAAGTGGAGGTAAGTCTATAGCACACCCCAAATTGTTTAATATTGATCATCATTTAAGTGGGACATGTGTGCTAATTACCAATAATGTTCCTTAAGAGACCCTCTTTGTATATGTAATTAGTAAAGCTTTAATAATCTCCAGAATACGCGGTGTATTGGGAATTAAATTATACCAGCAAGATTTAAATAGAATGGAGGGAAAATCACAATACACCTCTATTCAACTTCCGAAGCCACAAAATTTGTCTGAGCACCAAGTTCTTCAATGTTTTTTGCATTTATATGAATTCTAAATCAATTCTGAACCTAAAATAATGCTCTCTGGGGTCAAGGTAATCAAGTGACTTAAATCCCTCCCCCCTATAAGAAAGAAGCAATAAAACTATAAAAGCAACTTCTAACATTTATGAATTTTTATTAAACAGATCTGTTGATTTATGCTCAAACCAATTTCATAAATGTAAAATGTAAATTCTATTCCAGTAATGCTTCATAATGCTGGCTCAATTTCGGAGTTGAGTATTAGAACGCTTTTCCTAGATTACCTCAGAAGTTGAGAGAAGTTTAAGGAAATACCATTCAAAACACGTTAAATACAAGCGTTCAAAGTATGTTTTCTTTATTTTTTATCATTAATAAAGCAACGCAAATGGATTTTGCACAGTTTTCAATGTTAGAATGGCTTCTATTTGCCGATAAAATTTGTCAGATCGAAATATTAAAAAGTCATAGACACTCCTACAAATTGAAATTGATGAGTCATCCGGAATTGCCATCTAAGCGGAACTCTAGTGTGAAAACAATAAGTAAGTCACCCATAAATCTAACCAACTTGCTAATTTTATCCCATGTTTGTACACATCTGGCATGATGATTAAAAGGATAAATTTAAAATAATGTAAGGTAACGGAAGGTGGAGAAAAAGCGGATTTTTTGCTATATATATATATATATATGTGTGTGTATATATATATGCTTGGACTTATCTGTTACATTAATAAACAATTTTCGTAAACAAGTAGTCTTATTAATTAGTTCTCGTGATTAAACGATTGCGATAAGAAAAAGATTCTTAAGTTTGCTGCATTTATAATAAATATATAGTTAATTAGGTCAAATCAATTAGAATCCTTCAGTTCTTTTCCTTTAATATTTGGCCTAAGCAGATGAGTGGCCGTATCTTGTTGACTTCATTATTTAACATTGTTATAATTGAATCATAGTTGAAGCTAACATCTGGCTGATTAAGTTGCCTTAATTTAATTATTTTATTTTTGGATCTAAATTATGTAATATTTATTCACTTCTTTATGTTTCAATATTCTAATGTTCTTATTTGTTCAACCAAATGACTTAGCCAACTCCTTTTCAGCTTCTCAAATGGTTATTGGCCGATTAATTAATTCGAATACTCTGTTAAAACAATTTGGATTAACTTTTTCTTGAAATATTCACAATGGCATTATAATACTGTCTTGCAGTTTTCAACATAACAGAGTTCATTATATTTGTTTCAAGGTGAAAACATCTTTGAACCTAACAAGCCCCCCCCCCACCCTATTTTATTTGTAGAATATGGCACTAAGAGGGAACTAGATCAAAAGGAGCTTGGGGCCGTGCGTCAGACCCTCCAGGACTGCAGTAATCGTGAAAAATGTCGCCGATATGCGTTTGATGACTACACATCAGGAAAACTAGGGCTCTCTCTCCTTCTCACTCAAATCCTCTTTCCACTCACTCTGCTGCTGCTTTGATGCCATGAACCTTGCAACCTCACCTCGCTTATTGTGATTTCTCGTTAATTATACATATTCGTATTTCCTTTAATAATTATTAAATCACAACTCCAATTTTTTTCCACTTTCTATAGATGGGAGCATAAATCTTGTCGACCGGCGGATTCTTATGAAGCTTAGAGATTTCAAAGTTAGGAAAACACTGCAAGAGCATTTTTAGTCCATGAAATGTTATTTGTCAAATGTGAATTGTAAAATTACCAATGAAATTGTGACGGCTAATTTTGGATTAAAATGAGTTAACAAGAGCTTATTCAGTATTTGTGGAAAAGTGTTATTCAAGGCCACCTGTTCGAAACCTTTTGATGTGCACTCAGTAGTTAAAGTTACAGAGTTCTATTTAATATTTGATATTTTTTATACCATAATATTTCAACAAAAAGACATTTTTGAAGTCCTTACCATTCAAATAAATAACCATCTATTCCTATATTAAAGGGGATTCAAAGTAATATATCAACCCAAGTTGCAAGAGTGTGATGTATATATTTCTGAAGAAATCTCTCTCAGAACACGATTTAACAGATATTTAGGCAGAAAAAAGCAAGTCATTACCGAACGGGGTTGGTAACTCAAAGATATTACGTTGAAAAAAAAGAGATGAGTTTGCGAGTTCGCGTGCTGTTGTCCAAACCTTTTAAGCAATAAGTAAATAGGGGGAAATGTTTGTCTCCTAGCTCAACTCGTAGCAGTAAAGGTAATTAAAATTATGATGAATTAGCAGCGCGAAATTCTATTAAAGTCACATTTCTGCTGCCTCATTGGAACAGCATGAATTTTCATGCAACGAACAAAATGATAATTGGCAACATACTATGTCATGAAACCAATTATTTCCATGAGAAGATTAAAGTTGAAGCGACTCCACTTTCAAACAATACTGTACAAGATTTATTACTAATTTTTTTCACCCTTGCAACTTTAGCCGCAAGGTTGTGCCCCAGATTTCAGACACTTTAAACATCATCTACATGAGGAGAGTGAGTCGATTGGGATAGTCAGTTATATCACCGTCCTGTGAATCGCAAACGTTTTAGTGAACCTTCGAGAAAGTTCCACTGATTGATTGATTGCCTAAGTCATAGTAAAAGTTATAAGAAGGCAGATACGATTATTTACCTCTTTGACACACGTTTTCATTCAAACAAACAAATTCACGGGAATAAAAGTCTTGTCGTTTCATAACGGATTGAAATTCAGCCTACAGACAGATTGACAGTAGACCAGCAAGACCAAGACTCAAAATGTTAAGTATGGCACAAGTTAGAATTAATAATAAGTTGGATCCTCCACGAACTATTTTCATCCATCAAGCACGTTGATACTGAGGTTAAGTATGCGATCTTGACATCACACAGGCCAATTACCACTTACGACCAAGACCAATTGCTGAGGTGGGGTTGGGGTTGGGAGGGGAGGGGGGGGGGGTTGAGAGCCCTATCCTTTAGGGCAATATTGTCCCTTCCTCTCACTTCTGTACACTTGATTGGTTCTTGGTCCGCTTTATGTAACTTGTATGCTCTCTTAGATATTGCCTCCTCCAATTCTTCTGACTATGATATGTCTTAATAAATACCAATTTAGTTCATTACCTTCCAGTCTTGACAGAAGACAGAGGTTCATATGTTTTTTGTAAGCGTTTAATGAAGGTTAAATTTTGAATTCAAAATATTTATCACAATTTTACTTCAAGAAAATTTCAATCCGTCAGGAAACTTTATAAGCAACAATTTAGCGAAAAAATATGATCTGGCTAATACTGTGAAATCCAAAAATATGGAAATTATTTAATAACCATAGAACATAAACGATCAAACTTGAGGAAGAATATTGCTCCTAGCAATACTTACTTATAACATTTTGGTTCCAAAGTGTTCGAAAGTCAATCTGAATAAAATCCAGAACTCAGAAGTTTCAGGGAAAAATAAATTTTAATTAATTTCATCTCTGATTAAGGAAAGAGTGGTTACATATAGATTAGATTATCCGTTGCTCTGTATATAAGCGTATCCGCCCATAGGTTGCATCCTATTCCATTAACAAATAGTATTAATTTTAATTAAGTGCTAAGCAGTATAATAAAAAAATAGTATTTGTGTCAGGACAGGTGAAATGAATTTATTCTAAATGGATCAACAGGAGAAATAGAATCGAAGTACATCTGAAATGAAAAGTGGATTCGAAAAGTGGCAAAACTGTAAGTGCTAAAATTTGGCGCATTTTGTTTATTTGAGGAATAAAAGAGCGATTCACAGCTGTAAAAGAGGCAAACAGACATAAAAGGTAGAGAAAAAGGTAAGATGAGTACTGTGGAAGGGGTCGAATATGACATACAGTGGTGTCATGGTAGTTTGAAGACAGAAGTCAACTGCCAGTTAATAGACTTTTTTGCCGTATGAGTATTCGTTGCCCAGGTTGCACCACGTGGAGGTGAGTCTATCGCACACCCCATTGAAATAAATTCCAAAGTATTAAATTTCTCTAAACACAAAATGATCGGTTTAAAACAAAATTTTACTTCCTCTCTCTCCCTCTATGTAAAATTATTAAGCTTTAGAATTTTCTTCTCTAGCTTGGCTATAAT